TTATACACTAAATGTTACTGACTAAGAATATAGAAGGAGTTTATATTATAATTTAATGATCTATAACTTCTTTGTAAAAACAAGATTTAAATTTGTCTCCTTTGATACATTGTTACTTTCGTTTCTTTCTTTCCTCTCGCAAAGGAATGGAAAGCGGAAATGTATATGTATTCCGTTTCTTTTTTCCATACATTAAATCCTATTTCTCATGCCTTTTGATTACACTTCCTATCTTTTATCTGAGACTGTATAAAATATATATTGATCTATAAATTGAAAAAAATGTCGATATTGACTGTACGAAAAGGAGAAGCTCTTAATCTGACTTAAGAATTTATCTTACAAACAAATTAAACGAAGAATAGGTGACACCAAAGTTAGGCATTATTCGAATTGTCTCGAATAAATATTTATCGAAGATAATTATCGGAATAAAATCAATCGAATAATTTATCTGTAGAATAATTACATGTTATCCGTAACAAATTATTTCCTCTATTTATTCCAATAATAATTGCAGAATTATTGAAATATTAATACGAATAATTGTTTGTTTCCACATAATTTTTTACATTATAAGTATATACAAATACCAGATACTGTAGAATTTTTACTATTAATATATGTGAAATGAATAATTGTCACGAATAAATGTCAAATGAACAATTTACCAAAGAACAATAAACTTTTTAATCTGGCATTTGAGAAAAATTGGTTATAAAAGTCCATATTACAAGTGGACAATGTAGCTTGAAAATATATCTCACGTTCAATACCATGTTCATCCTGATGTAGCATAAATATCTGTATATAATATATAATTTTATCCGAATAAGATTTATTCGATTAAATTTTTATTCGGATAAATCCTTATGCGAATAATTTCTTATTCAAATAAATTTTTGTTCGGATAAATACTTGCTCGATCGCATATTTATTCGCTAATGGCGAATAAAATATCATTTTTTATTTTTATTCATTATCAGCTTTTCTCAACACTGGATAACACTACTTGCCCATACACGTTTCCTTTAAAATTTTCACTTTTCAAACATTCTCCTAACTCACTATTACTCTAACCTCAAAAATGTCTTCCAAAAATCCCGCAAAATAGCTACATCCGACGCGATACATATTTCTACTACCACGTAGCAAAATTACAATACAACATCGACTTCCAGCATCGATTTCCGAATTCCATAACGAACAATGATACACGCGACAGAATCGAACATGCCATCGAAGATCAGTCGATCGGAGAAAGCTACTTACGTATTACAATCGAGTCACCGATGATACATGACTCTTTTTCGGTTTTGGATCAGTGTTACAGCCTTTTGGCAAGCTGCCCATCTTCCATGGCTCTTCTATAAGTCTCTACGAAGAGCGCCGTGGAAGTCCTCGCTGCCTTTGCCCTCTATAACGTTCAAGACATATAACTTCGGTGTCGTGATTGTGAACATAACTCGTGCCGAAATTTTTCAGCGCCCGTTGAATTGGAATATAAATCGTCTGCCGTCCGGGTGCGCGCCGTTTCCGCTGACGATCCACCACCACCGCGATTAACCGTGTCTGTCACGCGTGCGTGTACCAGCAGTGCACCACGACCACGAGAATTGTTAATGCCTATCGTACTGAAGATTATTGCGAATGTTTTCGATCGGAAATCTGTCTCTTTTTAATTTGATTATTTTTTTAGGTAATTGATCGAATGTATAGTTAGTGTCGGATGTGACGACGTTCATTTTCGCTCATAATTAGACTACAGAGATTTATGTATTTATGAGAAGATTGAAAGTGCAAAAATGCGCAGGATGCAAATAATTTACAAAAATGTATACAATATTCAGAGTATAGCGATCTCTATAATATTTAATAAGTAAAACAATCTATCTAGGTTTAATTATCTTCGTAAGAATATGAATTTGCATAATAGATAGGGATCCTTACTTAACTTGCATAATACAAGTGAACTACAAAAAGTGTGCAAGCTATTCAATAGATACGTTACATAGTAGACTAATAGTTGTATAATGATATCATTATGAATTATTTTATATAACTCCGTATAATATAATTTGGATGAATAATTGATTAGTTAGTTGTAAGCATTACATGAATCCTTTAATTTAAATTTGATGCATATTAATGCATATTGAAATAATTCGTAAAACATTATCCACAACTCAAAAATGAACATAATATAACAATTAAACCATGCTTACGTTATAAATTGTAACAAGTTTTATTTGTACAACGAATATGGCTCTATATGAAAATAATTTATATAGCGCGAGGAAGATCTTTGTTAATAGCAACATCATTAATAACTGGCATTAAATTGCATTAAAGATTTAATTACGATTATCCAGGTACATTAATTAAATTTAAAACGGGGATTATTAAAATATTAACATTGACTGCAATATCGAAATGCTATTAAATAAGGATGAATATTTAGACACGACGAATATTTTAATTCGAACCAATTAAATCTGATTTTTAAATAATACGCGCATTTTAATAATAATCCATCATACGTGACAAGATCTTAACTAATAACGTTAAAACGTTTGATCGATTCTATTCATTATATGATTTATCGTTTAACTACCTTACTTTGAAATTTTTCTTCCACTCTTAAACGACAGAAGCCTTTCTATTCATGATCGTTAGAAGGTATCCTTCTATAGCTAAAGAAGACAAAGTACAGAGAAAATTGGCCTCGAATTAGTATTCTTCGAACATAGAAATTAATTCCTGATCGATCACTATTTCGCTACGGGAATCATAATAAGGCAAACGCTTATTCGGTCAATACTTTCTCTACGCATCAATAAAGTGCAGAAAATTTCATCGATCAATTACGGATATTATACTTTCAAAGTTATTCTACTGTAAATTAATTTCTCCTTTTCTATTTTTCATCGTTCATTTGCTAGTTAATCAGTTATCAATCTTTCAGCTAATTTATTTATATTAAAAACTAATCGAAGTACATCTCGATAATTAATGATTTTTTAATTATACCACGAAGCATAGTTGAAAATAGCCAAGTTATTTGAATTCATGAGGGTAGTAACTTGCAAGGATATTTCAAGCCATGTAAATCACAAGTTCACACTAGCAACGCCGTTTCAGTTTGCTCGAATTTAGGTGACTTGACTAAACTAAACTAGACTTAATTGTTATTCGCACAAACTTTGGGGATGAACTGTTATAAATCTCTTTAAGAAAACTCAAAACCAGCTTCGTATCTTGATAAAAAGAAGCCAGATTATTTGTATCACAAAAGTCGCGGTAGCTTTTTTCAAAGTGTTTATAAAGGTGAAATAAAGATGTTTCTTCAAAGATTATTTCCCCAGTCTGTCGTCGACATTCAAAACGTTCTCGTATATTGAGGAGCGTTCGGCCATCCATGCGCTGGCACATCGTAATAATCTGGACGTGATAAAACATAGTTTTCGTTGCGTTTCATGCTGGAGAAAATACTGCTCCGTTTGCTGGAGATACTTCCGTCTGTCCGCAAAGAATATTTTCTCCGTGTACACGAAACGTTTCGACGAAACTACGAAACGATGGATCGTCCAATAGCGAAACAGTTTATATTATTCTTCACTTCTCCATCCTTTCCACTCTAGATACCAAATGCAACAATAACAGTGAGCAAATATTAAAACACAAAACGTTTCATTCAATCCATATTACAAGCGTAATTTATTTTATCAATTAGATTTATAGCTAAATTGGGTATTTCTCTTCCTGTAGATATTCGGAAGAAGGATACTTATTTGAATATTCAATGTAACAGCCATTTCATAAAAATTTTTGTAGCAAGCATGACGAGCGTGATAATACTCTAGAAATTCCCTTTTCAGTTCAAAAGACTTATTCTAAAACATGTATACACAGAAACATTTACATTGCAACTATTCAATATGCTGTATATATATGCTTGTGTCCCTGGAATTCTAATTTCTAAATATCGTAGTCATAGCCCCTTTTAAACATTCTCTTATTGTTAATTTTACATGTTTTATGGTAATCTAGAATTATTTTATTATATGTAATGTATTTTTAATGAATAAAAGAAATATGGGAACATAAAAAATATAACAGAGAGCATATACGAAAAATGTACAGATCATACATCTTTTTTAGTGCTGTTAAAATTTTTTAATTTTTTTCCACTTTGCTTAATTATACTGAGCTTAATAAATAAATGAATAAAACATAACTCGGTAAAAAATTAAATCATTCTTTTTCCTTTAAACAAATCATCCTAGAGGTGGCTGTATCTAGATACAATTTTCCTCGAAAGAAGAATTTTTGAGGAGAATTTTTCGCACGTTATCTCCAATAATGGATTAAAATACACGTTTATCGTCGATAAAATGTTACAGCTGAGCGATATTATAAGAATATATACAGCATCGAAGAACGTTTGGTATTCCCCTGTATTTATCTTTCGTGCCTTAAATCATCTTCATGAAACAATCTATTATGGGCCCGCGAAACACCCTGTACGTCGGGTCTATTTTCCATCCGCAAAAAATTTATCGGTTGCGGAGTTGCCGAATCTAACCGGCTCGAAATCCAGGGACACAAAAATGCGCAGTCGATAGATCTAAATACAAAAAGCTTCAGACCTTTGAATCGCCTGTGATCAAAAAACGAATTCACGCGAGATATCGTGCAGTTGATCATCCTACACCGAGTTAACTGCGAACCATGTCGTCGATTACAACAGAAAAAGAATGGAAAACAGACAGGCGAAAACTGTCAACGAGCCGATGTATCGGGTGTTTGAATAAAAAAAAAACAAGCAGAGGAAAGAGATTCCTTACGAATTATCGGAAATACAATGGAAAAAGCTCGTGGCTTCAATTCAAATAAAACATGTAATTACACCGGAAATTCGTGACAATTTGCGCCAATTAGCTAATAATCTATTTTTGCCCCAGTTATTGTCAATGCTAACGCTATTCTTTCTATTGCAGGTGCTTTCCACGAAGGATGGAGTATCATAGCTTTCGGACTTATTCATTTCGAAGTTATGCATCGTAAGGTGAGTAGTTTCAGCAAATTTGTCATTTTAATTTCGGTGACATTCACTCGAAAGATCTTTTCATTGCATATTAATATTCATAAGGAATTTTTCATTTTACTTTGATTATCAATATTTTCACTTGTTAGAAATTATGCGAGTATTTTGCTTTGGATATTTTATGTAATTTTGCATGTTATATGCAACTTTCGAACTTTACACGAATGCATAAAAATCCGCGATATAATTATCAGAACTTTATTTAACAATATTTTTTTTAACCCTCGTTCTCACGACTGGCCACAAAATTTATTCCTCGCATTGAACGTCGCCTAATTTCGCCACTATTAGTTGATCTTGATAAATAATACCACAATTTACTTCACAATTACACAATTACACACTAATAACACAATTTACTTCACATATAAGGATACAAAGCGTCTGCCGTAGGTTTCCCAGCGCGACTTCCATTCCCTAGTTCCGCGGAATAAATATTCCATTCGTGCAGTCGTCGGGGCTCACTGTCAATTCGGTGGCCTCTCAAACAATATTTATTTAGCCGGTATCGATTTTGTTGGCATGATATTGGTTTCCCGTACCGTTGCTTGTATTTTACCTCTCTCTTTCTCTGCCTATCCCCCTCCGTTTCGGTATTTTCGCTCGCTAAACCTCTGACCCGCGTTCGTTTTTAACCGTTTCCATCGTTATTTCTTGCGCGGCCGATGAAAAATCGCGCAGAAACTCTAGGGTAAACTGATTTATAAACATTCAAGATTCGAATCATCGTGTTCGTCGTGAGAGGAACGCCTTATAGGCTTATATATACGTATCGTATTTTCATGAAGAGACGGTAAAGATTTGTCACGGGGAAAAAGAGATGTTAACGGAATAAAAATAAGGGGAAAAGGAGGGAAAGGGAAAAAGCAAAATAGGAACGTCGAGTGTACAGAGAGAGGGATGAAAGCTGTTTCCGCGTGCACAATACTATTTCCGGCACAATGATGGATTCAATTTTCGATAGAAATACATTCGACTCGATGGGTACAATATTATCTTCCGGAACTGATATTGTATGAAAGAAACTTCAAAATAGTCTAGTTGCTTGTCCTCGTTTTCATCGCAATCGAAAGACGATTAATTTCGGTCTTAATGCGTGTAATTAACCGCGTTATATTATCAGGTTAATGCATAAGTTTGTATATTTTTATAAGATAGATACGATACGTGAGATATATTTTGATAAGAGATATATTTTTTAAATTTCGTATCGTTTTACTAAATTATTTCGAAGTAAAGGTCATAATCTTGAAATTTTGTATATCGACCTGATTTAATTACGTCAACGAGATGCATTTAAGAAAACGATTTATTTAGAATACTTACGCACGAATATGCTGTGTAGATTTTCGTATTGAAAATGGATTAATTGCCCAACGCATTAGAATTTCGCCGATGTAAATTTTAGCGTGCAAATATTCCTCTAAAGCGGTAAATGTTGGCTCGAGTATATTTGAATACGAATTCGATGTAATTGTATACGTATGAATCTAGCAGTGATTTTATTCTTAGAAAATCTAAGTGATGACAGTGAAATTACCAAGTGAAATTGAAGCGATGTCAGTTAAATATTCTGCTAAAAAGTATTCGAATGCTTTGCAACTTCGTAAAATTTTAAAATTTGTAAATCGTTTTTTATATTCGAGTGCTTAGCAAATGCTTCTCGAAATTTGGGAACGTCTAATCATTCTCTAAAATACCAATTTGTCGTACTGTAACAAGCCGAATGGATTTCGTGATTTTCCCACTAGTCGCACGTTACAAACCATGTGTAAAATATTAAAGCAATCTGCTCCATAACACTGAAACGATTAGCCACCAGATTCGTGCAGCGATTGCGGATGCATTTAAAAATTCGTTTAGATTGCCGTCTCAATGTTAATAACAGAGTACAAGTTTTCTTTTAGTCTTCCCGTTATCACCGTTGACACGCGAAAACCGACACGGCTTAGCATTTTTAATTAACGATATTAATGCATCTCGTCGCGAATATGTAGTGGGTAATATAAGATACACAGCGTGCAGCCTGTAAAGCTTATTTTTGTTCCGATAACGTTGAAACGCGTTGAATACGCCGTGACGCCATTCGTTCCGCTTTATACTTAATATAAAAATGTCAGCCGATACGCAATGTAAAATTTTCGAAATTAATCTTAGATGGCATTGCGTGCGTGACACAGGATATTTAACAAAGTTTTCACATTTTTACCTGATAACTTGATTTATATCAACAAATGGTGCTGCTATACACGCAAAATGACACCCAGTCGATTTATCCGAAAGTAATTCAGCTTATGGATTGGTTATGGCGGTAACAATGAATGTTTGCCAACGATACACATTCGAATAAGCTTGTTCTAATAAACGCGAATAATAGGTGTCACAAAGGGTCGTCACGCGAGCCTCTAACGATTTTATCGATACTGCGTATACGACTACCTCGTAATAAAACACTAGTTCATCTTCGTTAGCCATGACCCTGTACAACTACTGTCTCTTTTTAATTATAATCGTAAAAAATGCGAAATTCTGACTGGAAAGAAATCATAACATTAATACTCTGACTCGAACGGAATAATAATCATATGTCGTTATTAATACACATTTATGTAATGAAATAAATGAGAGATCAAGCAGACATTGGTTGTTTTATGACTTTGTTGTCAGGATAATCACTTATCAAAATTAATTAAATATTCGGTTCAGGAGACGTACAAATGTTGATAATAGAAATTAGTGCATTAATTCATAAAGGTATTATAAACATTTCTCGTTTGATGTGATGTACTTCATGGGTGCAGCTTCGGTGAACCTCTCGAATCGGATACCAAGGATTAATTATCCAAGAAGCGTGTATTATAAGAGTAATTCTGAGATAATCGATCCTATTACCATCTATTAAATTGAACACTCACATATCCAGTGTCATCATGTTACCGCGTGTGCGAACGATATATATAGTCGAATACGTAATTTTTCTTCTCAGACAAGTCACCGTAATGGCACGAAGGTGCGTCCTCAATATGTTGCGCGATGAAGTAACGCATTTGCATAACGATCGTCGTTATTGGAAGCCAAACTATGTATCATAAATAGCTCAGTTTGAAGTGGTCCAGACACAACGTGGTAATATCTTCCAAATATGCACCAATCGTCTCGAATGACATTAGTAATACGAAAAGTGGGTTCTGGCCTGGATTAAAAGAGTACTTGGAGATATTTAAAATAATTTTAGAGTAATTCTTAATTAAGAGTCTCGGCTGACGTCGCTTATACAAATTCCGTAATCATCAAGCACGACCGATATATCGTGTCTTCCGGTACTCCTGGCTATTTACATTGCCAGTCGAGGTCCACTCGTGAACGGTCGAGCAAATTGAAGGATCACTCGATGAACTTATCGGATAGGTCTCTGCAGTCGACATTGTTGCTGAAAATAGAATTCTCTGTATTTCTGCGCTCCGATCGCACGACAATATTACCTTCGCTTCTGAGAATTTTGTATCCAACAATGAAAAGAGGTTCCACATTATCTTGTTTTAGCATCGAACGTAATCGAGGAAACTAACCTAACAACTTTTCCAGCAATTATTTCATATATTCTCTGATAATCTATAAATATTGTGTTGTGTTTTAAAGATATTTAAAGAATATATATAGTTGGACTGTGCGGCTTCTCTGAAATTATAATTTTGTTTAATTAATATGCATATGCATTAATAGATCATATTCAAACGTATCGAATCTTCTGCTTGTAAAGCTTGTAAATACCGTTTCCAAATTGTTATTTAATTAATTATCGTGATTAATATTTTCAAATACGTAAATGTGAGAAAGCAGGAGGAATTTTTCTATAGCTGCTTGTAATTCTTATTCTAAATATTCATTCGTTGAATACAGATTAAGCATCTTCGAAGGATGCATTTCATTTATGGTATGAAATTTCAACGATACAGGAGCTTTCCATTTAACCGGGGTGTTAAACGTCACGCGTCGTTCTATCAATCGTGCTTCGTCAGTTCGATTATCCTCTGTGTCATTCGATGTGATCTTCAAGCGTTTATGCGTCTGTCCGTCAGATAGGTTTCTCCCTCTGATTGGCTGTAAATAATCGCTTTCCCGTCACAGTGGCTCTTCGCCCGTACGTCATGCCACAGACATTCAAGATATTACATTGGTTCGCCGAGTGCCAGTCGTTTCGCAACGCTACCAACTTTTCGGATAAATTATCTGTTTTTTTTTTTCAATCTAACAAAACGATCATACGAAAGTGACACAGTTAAGCGCTTGACAAAGTTTTTACTGTTTTAGTGGAAGAATCTTATTGGCCTCTTTATACTTGGTTACGGCAATATCCTTTATTTCTCGTACGACATTCTATTCGATATTCAAATGTAGGGAGAGAATGGATTGGCTAACTTGAAATTCTCTCCTTTCGAAAGAGATTATTTGTGATTCAGTCTTCAATTTGTTAAAAGAGAAATTCCTATGCTAAGAAGCTGACTTGATTTCATCATCGACAATTCGCAATTTAAAAGATACCAGCCTCTTAAAAGACAAACTGATCTAGTCCACTTGCTCTGAATTTCTCAATTTTGTTACGTAAGTACATAATTAATATCCAATTCTCAGGAACACAAATTATATACTTACTCCATGAGTTCTTTTATGACAAAATAATATGACATAAATAATAGCAAATTCCAAAGTAAATTCAAAAAATAGCTTTTCCAATATCATCACTCTTTTCTGTTTTTCAGTCAAAGGACTGTCTCACAAAATGATTTATTTTATCATTAAAAAACTCTTCCTCGTTTTAACATCAGGGAAGAATGATTAAAATCGTCACACGAAATCTTGAAATCCTCGCTGCTCTCTTTCTCTCTCTCTCTCTCTCTATGAAGCAATCCTCTACGATACAACGCAAGCACCATGGAAAGGTACTAGGAATTTATCAGTAG